ACTTTTACAGCTTCAAAATTTTTAAATGTTTTTCAAGAAAAGAACAGTGTAAACAGAATCGAAAAGTTTTATTTATTGAATAAATCAAAAAATCTGATGGACACTTCATTCTTGTGAATTTACTGTTACAATTGAAGCCTGAAGTAATTAAGCATGTCTCTTAATAAGGATAATTGTTTCTGTTGCAGCTAATTATTTTTGCTGACTTATTCGGTGTTATACAAAATAATACAGTTTGTAAAAAGTAGAAATCCATTATTATGTTGTAAATCATACTATTTCATATTGTATTTATGCAAAATTTTTTATAGATAATCTTATGCAGAACAAATAAATCGTAGAACGACAATTTTGGTATATTTCATAATATTTCAATTAGTTAAATTTATCGTGGCCAAATATATTTCCATTAATGGAGGAATTTTTTGTACTTTTAAACTTCTTAAAAATACTTGGAAGTACGAGATTTTAAATCATATATATTTGACTTTCATGAAATATCTTATCAGTGATTGATCACAAAATATGTGTCATCTGTACAGAAAAAAAAAGTGAATAACAAATGTTTAACTGAAATGGAAGATGTTTAAATGCGGAAACATCTTCCGTAAACCGTTTTATACATTCTGCATTTCTGTCCAATTTGTTTCTTTTTGAATATTTTAATATCTTTGCTTCAATGAAATATTAAAAGAGTTGAAAAAGATTAATTTCATGCAAGAAAATATAGTGAAGTGTGTAATTTAGTAATAAGAACTGATTTTTTGAAATGTATGATAAACAATAACAACGCTTTGTAGCACTGTTGCATCCAAAATATGTCAATGTTAGAGGTTAGGGGTCAGAGTTCAGCATAGTGATCTGTGTAGGAGGAAAGCATTCCCTCCCAAAATCTAAGAGATGAGGTCAGAGACAAAGGTGTGCATAACTCGAAAGCTTCTTGTGCTATTTTCAACATTACGCAATCTGCTCCGCACGATCCAATGGTTCCCGGCAAAAATAAAATTGACCGCTCCAGAGGTAATTTTGTTTTTCAAATTCTGCATTAAGCAATATTTAAATTCAAATATTTACAAAAATTTTTAGTTAAATTTGTAACAAATTTCCTAAAAAGGGAAATCGTTATAAATTTGACCGGAAATTTCAAAATTTTCTTTTTATTGGATTATAAAATAGCTTTTTTCAGATAAATATCAAATGAGTAATGCTTCACATCGGGTCAAAAAGCGAATGTCATGCCGGGAGAGATGGATGGTAAGAAGAATTTATCCATTTTAAAATACTCAAACGGATTTCTCATTTTTTTGCATTAGTTGAAACACGAATAGTTTGATAGGTCCAGTGAGGAGCATCTTTTAAGCCATATTTGATTAACATTATTAAAATTATTTGTAACCTAAGGATTGGACTAGTAATTAGTAGCTGCCGAAATGAAAGAGAATGAAAAAATTTTTAAAAAAGAATGCGATCAGAAGAGAGAGATTCAAAGATCAAAATTTCATATAACATTATCGGGAGATTTCTTTTGCCACAATTAGCGGTGAAGAACAGAGAAAATGTTCTGGTAGAAACANAAAAAAAAAAAAAAGATAACCCGACGGAATTTCAGAAATACAGATATTTTGAATATCCTGTAGGATGAATTATGTTGATGACAGTATTGGCTCTCATCATGCTAATCATCATCGTAATTCAATCAGCAGTAATAGCCATCAGGTAATGAAATGTATGATTGATTAATTCAAGAATTTCAAAATATATTTCATATTTTTTTTTCAGGAAAAATATTATAACCTAAGTTTATCAGGATGGCTAGCTAAACCACTTTCACCTATGGGATCTGATGATTCAGATGATGAATTGAACAACACTTCATCATCTCCGAATTCTTCATCACAGAATCATACGACAGAAAATGGACTTGGATCGATGGAGTTAAAAGAAACATCAAATAATACACATAATGCACAGCTTGTAATACCAAACGTTCAACTCTTCACCGAAACAATCTTACAACAGGTAGAACCGAATAACTCATCATTAATTCTGTCAGCTAAAGAATCCGATGATCAACTGCCATCAAATTATCTTCCAAATATGATTCAACATGTTCGACAACATCAGCTATGCATTGATCCAAGAGATTTCGTAATCCCTTACACTCCGATAACTGTAGAAGAAAGATTAGCCGGTACCGATGAAGTTCGTACAACCGTGATCAATACATGTGGAATGACCGGTTTACCATATACTCTTCACGATGATGATCCATTTGATACGAAATATCCTAATTTTATAACAAAACTACCACCAATATCAACATTTTTCAATTTTCGTAATAAAAAATAATTGTATTACTAAATAATACTATCATATATTTCTTGTTATTTTAATGTCGCAGTTGAAGGTTTTTCTCAAAATCTCTTCACTGATAATTTAATCAGAAATCTCTGCTAGTATAAGATAGTAACATTATTTGTATATGCTTGTCTTTGAGGAAATTTTCGAAAATCATTTTATGGGAACTGTAAATGAGATATTGTTAAGAATTTGCAAATTACAGCTATATGATAGTATGTGATAAATGTGATAGGCCTCTTTGTTCTGTTCAAAGAAAAAACATTAAAAATGAAATATTTAAAAATTTTTTATCATCCGTATAAAATGTAGTAAATATATTTATCTTTGCATTTTCTAGGTTTTTTTCTTGTTCAGAACAAGAAATTCGAAATGTGATTTATGGGTTTTTCTCTTCTACAGTAACTTAACTCTAAATCAAGATAGTTCATATTACGATGGGATTGAATAGGCCTTTGAAAAAGTGGTTTCTACCGTAGATGAGATTCTGTACTGTATCTCTTACTAGACTGAAGCATGAAGCATCAATAGTTTGCTCTTCTCTTATCATTAGCAGACAGAATCTAAGGGATTGTTTTTGAAAGCAATAACTAATTTTCTTCTTTCTATGCTTGCATATCTCATTTTTAAAATTGCTTGAATTTCAGAGTTTAAGTTTACTGTCAGATAAATTTTATTGGTCAAAAGATGTAACATTTGTTTCATCCTTCTTGCTAATTCCGTTTAACTTTTGATAGGATTGCTTTTGAAATTGCTTCATAAGATGCACATCATGAAATATTTACCGTACCATCGTAATCAGTTTCTTATTTATGCAATTTTCCAAATTTCAAATTTATGTTATGCGAGAATGGATGTACTGTTCATATTGCCATCAAAAATGATTGTTATTGTTGCAGTAAACTGATTATCCTAAAGTATTTACTCAATTAATTCCAATTCTAAACAATCGTAACTCAGTTCTACCATCGGTTACTTATGCCATTACGAGTTGACGGTGACTTTATTATTCCGCACCATAATTTGAATCTTATTCCGCTATACATATAACATCTCAACGATGTTTTTGAATTAGCTATAAAATGTTCACAAAGGACGTGACGTGATCAAACAATTGATGATCGTCAGAAAGGCGAACGTACGTCTCAGATGAGATGCAGAAGAATGACTGAGAAGGAAGAGACGTGATTCCACGTAGCGCATTTATGCTTCGTTCATCTATCAGTTGGGGTGACAGAAGACGACAAAGTTATCAATGATGGATGTCATGGAGGGAGATTTCATAGTCATTGTGAGTGGAAGAGTGTGTGTCGAAGTTATAAGAATAGAAAGGATTAACAAGAATTGAAGAAATAGTGTTACGATAAAATGAACAAATAAGAGGAACAGACAAAGAGTGGATAAAGAGTCGATACATGGTCTGGTCATTGTAGCATAACGTTAGCCGAATTTTATAAAACGTTGTTGGGATAATTTCCGCTCCAAACATACGTGTAATGCTTGTTGGAAGGTATGGGCTATTTGTTTGTGGTTAAGCATGTGAAAGAAGTTTCTTTCTAGCAATAAACATCGGCGATAACCGTTCCGAGACAATTTCTGGGATGTACCGCGTGAGTTATTTTTCGTTTCACTCGCGGTACATGAACACCTTTAAGAATTGTAGCGAAGTGAAACTTCCTGATTCTCGCATGTCTGATAGATTTTCTTTGAAAAGTTCAAATCTCAGTTATCCTTATCGATGTAGCCGTGACGTTTCAAGCGCTTCCAGTATTTTGTAAATTTGGCTGTGTGAAAAGCACTTCAATGAGTCGTAACACTCTCGAAAATATTTGCTAACATAGTAAGAGAGAGAATTATTTTGAGAAAGATAAGTTTTTTTTAATGTTTGCTTCTACTTCCGAATTACAACTTAGTGATGAGGAAGCTATATGTTATTAAGGAAATTCATGTTGAGATAATTTGTTTATTATAAAAGAAAGAGTACATTTTTGGAAAGTTTTTTAAACTAAGAGAAAAAATGCATTTACCACAAGCATTTAGTTGTCGATGCATCCCACTCTTCAAGGCGAAGAAGTAGGTTAATTTATTAATAAACATTACCGCTTAATTCATAATGCAAACATTCAAAATCTTTCCCACATATCTCATTTCCTCTTCGGAATATTATTATCAAGCAATACTGCATGTATAGAGAGATTATTTTCACCGGTCAAAATTTGTTCGACTCGATATCTTTTATTATTTCAGAAAGTGGATCTAGCTGCTAACATTAAATATCTGTGCCGAACTGTTTTTGTAGTAGGAAGTCATTCGCTCAATGGCACTGTTATTGAATAACACAGTTATTCATGTCGACATGTTGCAAAGCATCACTAAGTAACTTTGTTTTCGTTACTTTAAAGAAATTTTTGAGATGTTTTTTGGTTAGCAAAGTACTTCGGAAGAGTGGTTCATGTTAAGTCATAAAAACAGTTTTTTTTTTTTAAATTAGCAGAAATTATCTATTTCACTTGCGTATTATCACAATTTCAGTTTGCTAAAAGTGGATAAATGCTCCGAACGAGGTTATGATACTGAAAATACCTTCGTCGCGATTAGAGAAACTCAATAGACTACGCTATTAACTGCGGTGAAGGTATTCAATTTCTTACTGCACTATACGAATAGATTGATTTTGCTGTAAATGTTTTTTGATTTGTGATTGGCACAGTCGAATATGCACTGAAGGTTTTGTTGATTGATAGAGAGTTTATTTCTGGACAACATAAAATTAATGTCGTAAATCGTTGAATTAAGCACTTGAAGGGAATAATTACAGTCAAAGCTTATAATAGATGCGAATGGATATGGATGATAGTACTTCTGAGGTAGTGATGATTGAACAACTGAAAAAGTATTCATGGAAGTGAATTCTACTGGTAGCAATGAATGAGGTAGAAACTATGGCAAATGACCTGCTAATGCTCGATGAATTTTTTTGGATTCAAAATTCAAGAAAAATTGATGAAACAAAGAAAGTTGATGAATGAATCATTTGAGACTATTTTGACAAGACAACTTTTATAGTCTAGAATTCTGCACTACAAAAATACTTT